ATAAATCTTTTAACAGACAGTAAATCCAGTGAACCTCTTGTCACGTGCTAAACACATATTGAGGAATTTAAAACTAAATCACATTTAGTGATTTGAAAGAGTTTTCTCTTCCAAAACATGTAATCCAATTTAATTATTCTTCCTAGTGATAAAAAGATTACAATAAAAGTTAGCGCTAAAAGATAATCGTTGAGTTTACAGCATTTGAATGCTTTTAGTTTTGTACGATTTCTCTTTCCTGTAATTTGTTTTGGCAGTCGGTTTATTAAATTTAACTTAAATTTTTGTTCTTTCACATGTTTATTGAGTAAAAATGAGAAATATAGTATAGATAATAGCTCCCAACTCTTCTGTTTTTTTATCACATATCCCGGTAGACTGTCGATCCTCCCGTTTTTAATTTTTAGCCTTCCCTAAGGAAAATGTTTTCCTGCAATAAGTGAAATTTATTGAATGTGTGAAACTTAAGTTGTTCAAATTCTATTCCTCCACACCTAATGATTTTCAGAATAGTTTTTCTTGTTTAAAATTTATTTCGTCTGAACTGTATTTTTTTCATATTGCATTTTATTGAGCCTCTTCCTATTAAATTTCATTTTATTTGAGTTGTCTGCATGCTGCAATACTGCAGACATTTCCAGATTTTTATGTGAAGATTCAACTAGTGTTTAATCACATAATATTTGTATTTATTTTACTTCATTACATAATAAATTGCTAAGTTTATCCCGAAAAAATTTTAATACGTTAAATATTAATTTAATTTTATCGTACGTAAAATTACTTCGATAGATAAAAGCTTTTCTTCCTTATTCGGGATTTTCTCGGTATAAAAATATAAGAAAATTACAGAATAAAAATAGCCAAAGAGCATAAAATGTAGAATTTATAATTTATAATTAAATACTAATGTATTTTACATTATAGTTGTATTCAAATAGTTTAATATTTTGAATAATATATTGTAAAGGGAACTCAAGTCAGCTATTAGCTCCTTTGAAATGGCATCACCACATAACGTGAAATGTTCCCGGTTTTCTCGCAGAAATCTCCTGGTTTTTCAGATTTCAAGGTCGGTTGTTGTGATACATGCATCAAAGTTCAAAATTTAGGTATCTGATGTTTAATTAGATATTTTATTATTCTGCATCACTTTGTTTTGTTATAGACAGGTTTAAAGATTTCTGCTTTCTGCTGCTGGCTTACAATTCAGATTGTTAACATATAAGGAGATGTGTGGCACACTTCCTGTCTTATTTAAATAGCAGTTCTTGAGCATTTATAACAACTATAAGGTTTTATACCAACCACTATTTACAGAAGGCATTTACAGAAAACTTAATATTATCCTATCCCTCCCAATTTTAATAATTACAATTTTTTAATGCAAGGAGTTTTTATACAGTTGGATTACTTTCACACTATAACTCCTTATACTCAAATGATTCTGCTTCAGAGGATTATATTAGAAATTACTTGAAACTCGAAAGCAGCGTTTATAGTCCCCCTTTATTACTTTCTTAATTTTTTAACAAACTGAATATTTTTCGCATTTATTAAACATATGCCTTATATTCTATCGTTATGTATCTCCATGCAGTGAGAATTAATTTTATGCCTATGAGAACTTGGATTTAGTCCTCTTTTCCTTCAATATTTCAAGTCCCATTAATGATGATAAAATAACAACGATTACCGCGTTTATTTACCACATATTTTTATCTTCTGATAATTGTTCTATTCAAAAACCAAAAAGGGAAACTTATGCGAGTTATTTAATTTCCGAAGGAAGCATATTAGAATAAGAATATAACAAATGAAAAATAGTCATGGCTAAACTACTGGTAACTATTCCAAAATTATTTTTTTTTAAAGAAATCTACATTCCAACAAGAATACATTGTGATATTAAAGTTACAATAAATCATGATAATATATCTTCATTTCTAGTTTATTACAAATTGAATCTTGCCCATTCTTATTGTCGTCCCTGCCAATCCTTAAGCCTGGAATCATTCTTTAATAATTAGAGAAGACGAATGCGCAGCGGATTCGGCAAAATAGTAGACCGAACGTCGGATCCTGTTTCCTTCGCTGCGATGAGTTGGTTGTATTACACTCACGTGAAGTTCAACAGATAAAGGAAAGGGAAAGGTTCGCCATTACCTTAGCAAGTGGTGTGCGAGGGTTTGTCTTTGTTGGCAAGACGAAAATAATCACTACGTGTACGAATCCATTTTTAAAATTTAGGGAAGATCGTTTTCTGAAAGAAATGAGGAAGAAAAAAATGACTAGAGTATTTTAAAGTTTTAAAGTTTTTCTTTTTTTTTACTGTGCAAAGTCACCAGAGTTATCTGCCTGTGAGAAGGGATGCCTCACGTAAACTGGCTGGTATTCACTTACACATGGGTAAAAGCCTACTAACAGCCAGCCGTTGAACAGAAACCAGGTTGAACAACCGGTATTCAGCGGTTTTAACCTCTCAGTCACTGGGAAAATCCACAAACCTCAAAGCCGGTAGGGCTTAAAATTCTCAGAATCTGGTGCAGAAAAGCTAGAGGGAACAATACGCGAGGAAATACAATGTTATCTAAAAGATCTGATAAATGGTTCAGATAATGAATACTTAAAGCTTAGTGAACTTTGAATAACTTGGCGTTTCCTGGCGTTAATTCATTACTAACAGACGAAAAAACACTTTTGTGTTAAGTGAGGGCGTTTCTGGTGCTCCAGTTCATGTTATCTATTGAAGCTTTAGCATTTTTGCGGTTTCCAGAAGGAATACGGCCTAACGTTCCAATTTAAAATTTTTGCATCAAGAAACAGCATTTCTTTTTGAGACTGTAGTATTCTTTAAAGTAACTTCATCCAAAGTATGTGATGCTATTTTTTTTGCTCTTGAAGTCCCTGCAAAATGCATTTTGTATTATACTATTTCCGTATTATGTCTCGACATCATCTTTAAATGAGAGGATATTTTGACAGTTTCACAACATTTGCTTTTTAAATTTAAAGCTTCCGTAAATATTTATTTTTTATTGAACTTTAATTTTATGGTTTTTTTCATAACTTGAAATTATTTCATATTGCAAAAGAAATCATGCATTGTGCATAAATGTTTTCAGTAATGCGCCATAGTCTTTAGTACACTAGTAAATTGAAGCAGTCGTATAAGACCAAAGTGTAGAGTAAATTCTTAGAACCATAGTCATTTTGTCATTATTTCTCTAAGAAGATTATCTTCACAGAAGATCTTTCATCCATTGCTACATGGTGAAATACACAGCGTGTACACAAAAGTCTTTATCCCGCCTTTCTTTTCACAAATATTTGCGTGAATGTAAATGTACCAGAATTTCTTGAAAGTGTAACATATAGAGGTTTCTTAAGCGAAACTCGCAGTTGTACTTTCTCTAACTCAGCTCTGGTACCTTAGTATAACATTAATAGCCAATTTTGCACCAGAAATTTGACCAGCAATTAGAATTTTGAGCCAAACCTTAGTAAGACTAGTTATACCGTAGTCTTCGAGTATGAATTCATTTATATTTGTGAATGCAGTCTTGTCTGATGCTTTGATTTAAAACTATTTAAATGTGTACTACTAAAAAATGAAGAATCTGTATGTATGTCAATCACCTGTATTGTGAAAAAATCGCAACACCTAGAGCCACCCAATTTTGAATACATGTTACATCCACCTGAGCATATGCTACTCAAAACCCGAATTTTGGATTTGGTTTTCATTTATTTATTTCGTATTTTATGAGAATTTAGTGAATTTTTGACTAACAAACTCAGCGATTTACTAAAAGTGAGCATTGGCAAACACTGTTCGAAATAAATCATTTTTATGTCAAGCACGTCCAATTGTTGCCATTCGACAAAATAAAATTCCATTTTAATGAACAAATTCGGTTACTTAAAAGCTGTTGCCACCGTTTGAAATAAAATACTTTTGCCTTCGACGCAACACCTAGTGCCATTCAATAAAGCGTAAGATTTTAGCTTCTAAATTTAATCTGTGTGTTATTGAATAATAAACCAAACGGTTGGAGAGCAAATAAATGCAGTTTTAAAGATATTTTTTCTACTTCTTAATCTGATTGATTCGTTTAGAAATGAATTTAACTCATTCCTGTAAGCAATTTAAAATATTAAATTGTATAATCATTAGGTTATATTGATGCTGCAATGGGAAAACTGCGCAATGTCTTCACCGAGATTCGAACTCCGGGCATCTCGAATACACGTCGAGCGTGCTTCCAGTTACACAACAGTGGCATACGTAAAGGGCGATAAAAAATAGCTTACAAAAAACTTTTCTGAAATCTCACTAGCTGAAGTCATTAAAAATTATTATATATTTTGTCTGTTTTATGACAAATACCTTAGGCGGTTGGCCGAGCAAGCGACTAGCGAAATAAAAAGAGATCTTCCAGATTAAAATTTTATAATTTTAACTTGTTTTATTTAGCTATTAATGAGATTAAGAAAGTGATTCAGCGAACATTATACGTAAATCTATTCGAAAAGAGAAAAGCATTTGTATTATCCGTCCGACAATCACGATCTTTTTTTCGGGTTTGTAGACATGTCATTAAAGGTTATGCATAACCGTAATTACGACTTCAATTGCTTCTCACTCTATCGACGTTTAAATCGATCAGCGAAGATTTCACTTTTCCTACTGTCCTTCTCTTCTTTGTTGAGTATTTGTTGCCACTGGTGATAAATGAGGCTTTCACTTAGGCCATTGTTTTTCAATCTTCAAGTCTCATAAATAGCAAATGCGTGAAGATGGGGTTTGTACGGGCTGGGTCGGAAACGTGATAAACTGCTCAAAGGCCACAGAATCATAAACACTGTCATCCGATGTATCTTTTCTTTTTTCTTCTTCGTCTTGGCAACGTCATCTTAACTTTGTTTCCAAGGTTACGTCAGGTGCCCCGTCTTGTCCTTTCCGACGGCAAAGTGTTCGCAGGAGGTATCAAGTTAATTCGAGGTGTAATAGAGAAAAGGTTTTACTATTAATGGCAAACAAAGCGAAATATGTAGCAAGGAAGTGTGTGGAGCAAGTGGATACTTACATTTTCAAGTACTTAAAGGTAAGGATTTAGTAAAATTCGTTTTTGCATTGTGCTGATAGTAATGACCTTACTGTTAGAAAGAAATTTGTATTTGTATCTACATACACACCGTGTCCACAAACGTCCATATCCGGCCTTTATTTTTGCAACCGTTGGTCGTACACGTAAACTTCCAGTTACAGAAAAGCTTTAAGTGATGCAAAGGTCCAAATTTTAGCGCACAAATTGTGAAATTGTGAAGTTTTTATACGTTCCTTCTGTCCCTATATATTTTGAGGAATTCAGTACCCATTAAAAAATTTAGGTAAAAATTTTTAATTAGCCAAATATTATGATTTGGATCTTTGCTATCACTTCTTCTTTCCATATCCTTATCAGAATGCAAATTAATTGTTGAATATTTAAGTCGAGATTTTGAATGTTTTAGAGTTAAAACTTCTGTCAGATTTGCAGTTATGTATTACTGCCAGCTCTGCCAATGCTGATTACTGCTTCAGCCATTTTGCTAACCAACTCTAAAAGTATGCCGTTCATTACTTGAGCCACTTTTTGTGTAGACTACTCTGTAGGTAGTTTTAGACTACTTCATTTAAATTTGAATTTATGTTATTATAAATATCCGCAAAGTGACGGAGTTTGATCTGTAGCACAAGTGGTGCCTTGTTAATTTAAAGTGTTAAATGGAAAAGCTGTTTTAACCTTCGTAAGTCTTTGTGATTTGCTTACATTTGTCATTTGCTTGACACTTCGTAAGCCTTTGTCGTTTTCTTAACACTCTCAAGTGTGTTACTCTGACTTCAAACTTGTGAGTGTAGTATGGCCTGCATAGCATTTAGATAAGCTTCTATACAAGCAGACCCTAAAAAAAATAACCCACAAGAAATCTGAGTTTCGCGCGCAAAATATTAACCGAGATATTTATATGTTTAAAATTTGCGATATTTGACGTCATTTTGAATTTGCATGGAGGGTCAGTTAATAAATAAATTACAATATTTCTACGTCAATTTGTAGCCTTAAATGCCATTCAACATTATTGTTTTGTGATTCGCTAATATCTTTAATTTATAATTTTGTTACATATGTATATATATTTCCTGCATAAATGTCGCTCAAGTAATTTATAAATTTGCAAAATTTAAAAAATATGTTCTTAGTTTATTAGTTAGTATGTTCGTTAAGTTTCTTTACTTTAGAATAATAATCTGGTAATAGTGCGAAAAATTCACTTGAAGTGAGAATATTTTTTATTATATATTAGTTAATTTCAGTTGAAAATTATATTAGTTAATTTCAGTTGTATTGCAAATTGGCTAGGTGCCAATAATGAAGCCTGCCAGTGTTTCCTAGAACTCAATGCAATATTATTCTGTAAATAAAATTTCCATTTTGGAAAAAACTCATATTGATCAATACTTTTCAAAAAAATCTGAATAGAAATGCTAGTCATTTAATTTCTTAATGTCAGAAAATGTTTTCTGAACTGATGTTTTTAGTTGCATATAAAAGCAAACATTTCGCTCTTCAGTTTGTGTGCGTCCCCTGAATATGATTACCGATTTCTGTATTAAGGGCATCGGCGAATTTCTGTCGTACGAAAGTAAACTTTTTAAGTTTTATTTCTTAGAAACTTGTCTAGCGGAGTCTTAGCCTACAGTTGCTCTCTCTTATAAGCAAAGTTTAAGAATAGTATTAGTGTAGGTTCTCAATCGAAATTCTAAAGGCAAAAAGAAATCTCTTACTTTTTCTATCCTCCGGATAGTCTAGATTACTCCATTCTGTTCTGAAAGAAATCCTAATTCAAACACTTGTCAAATAATTCACACTGCCACTTCTAGTAAATATAAAGGAAGATTATATTATATTTATAGACAATTATTAGATTACGTTTACATGAATATTACGCACTTTCCTTCATACAATCTTTCTAGTTCTTGTTCTTGTTCTAGTTCAATGAAAATCAGAGTTCTATTTTCATTTTTGTTAATGTTATTCTAGAGTTAAGATGCAACTGTTAGTCCAGAGTTTAGATGCAGCAACAGGGATATTCAAAGGTCATAGGTTATAAGAGAATATATAGTAAAAAGCTATCTAAACGGTTATGCAATGTCCACAAAATTAAATTAGATTTTAAAAGCTTTGGCCATGATATCTCAATTTATTCTCAGCGTGATATTTCCGAAAGTTAGAAATGAATAAAGGTTCTTGCGAAGTTCAATAATTAAAAGCAATTTGCATTACAATAGAATTTTGAGATTATTGCTGAGAACATCAAGGTCGTTACATTAAATTCTGTTCCTGCAAGATAATCATTACATACCGTTTAATTCATATACATATTAGTTCATTAACTTTTATTTATTACTTTTCATGGAAGGCAATTAACAATTTAATTTTACTATTATGCAACTATAGTAAGTTGTAATTTTTTAAATTTAGAATTACGTTATTAGAAAGCTGAGAGCTTAAAACCATAATTTTGAAAATACGATGTTCCTATTGAAGATGTTTTTTTTTTTTTTTTTGGACACTTGGAAAATTTTAATTTGCTGACTAGCCGCCTGATTGGCGAAACGCCTTAACGCCTTAAATAATAATTACAAAAAAAAAAAAAAAAAAAAAAAAAAAAAAAAAAAAAATACATAATGATTTTAATGAGTCCAGCTATTGTAATTTCACAAAACTATTTAACATTTCTAATTAGACATCTCATGGTTTAAATGTATTTTTAATTCAATATAACAGATTAAAAAGTAAAAAAACAAATTCTTAATAACTACATCTGTTGGTTTTAAATTGCTTGGTTTGTTCATCAATAACTAACAGATTAAATTTGAAAGTTAAGTATCTTACTTACGCAACACACTGTTTTAATTAGACGTGTTTTTTGATTAAAACTGAAAGATAATTACTATACATTCGAGAAATGTCAACAATCTGCTACATAGAAATAATTTGGTTTTGTAGTCTTTTACTAATTTGGTGAGCATCGGAGAGAGGTGCAAAATTTTATTTTATTATTTAACTGTTTACTATCAAGTTGATTATTTTTATTTATATTTTCACATTTGACAATATTAATTTAAATTATTTAACTAATTTAATTATTAATTACTTTATTTTTTAATTATTTGATGCTTAATTATTAGCCCAAAGACCCAGTAGCCTAGAATGGCTATTAATTTCGTTTTGATATTTTGCATTGATTCACTATAAATGTCGGTTCAGTTTTCAAATTGTTGCACAAAATATTATCAGCCTGTGTTGTATTTAAATAAATTAAATAATGAAGAATTTGCATAAATGTATGTATTTTTCTCGCATTGTCGCATTTTCTCGCCATCAAATTTTGAATAATGTAAGCTTTTAGATTTTATTTTTTTAAATTTTATTGTTTTAATTGTTACTGACTTTATTATTCTAATTATGAATTATTTTGATACTTTGAATTTTTTAAATTTTTTCTTCCTTGGTAACGGCTTTCCTCAGGACTGTGGCAATTCGAACCTTAGAAATTTAGTCCTGGGAGCAATAGGAGGATTGATGGTTAAATAAAATCTTAGGGACCACACTATTCGGCAGCTTTTAGTATTCTATTTACTATTTTTTATATTTATAACAATCTATATTATTTTCGGTAAAATCTAAATTTTTTATTCCAAAGGCACCGGCACATCCGCAAACCATTGCAATTCTGTCCTCGTCCATCACTGTAGGTAACAGGTTCCTCGAATTTCTTAATTTTGTTTTTGCAAAGTATTAGTTCGTTTGTTGAACTCAAATAAATTAAATTTTCAATATACTAAACCAGTAATATGTTCCGAATGCAGGCGATCATTTTTGTGGCGTATTTTCATTTAAGGCAAAAAATTGTAGAGACATTAAGTATTTTTTGGAAACAAGAATATTGAAAAATGAGCAACGCCTTCGCCGAGAATCGAACCATGGACCTCTGGAATACGCACCAAGCTTGCAGACCACCACACTACGAAGGCATGCCAAAAATGCGGAGAAAATACTTTATAGAATTACAAAAAGAAACACTTTTAACTTATCAACAAAAATTTGGATTGTACGAATTATTTTGTGAGTTACTGATTAACACTTTTTGGAAGAAATGTTTTACTACTCGGAATATTTTGATCAAAATTATTTTGCAAGCAATAACTCAAAGGAGAAAAAATAACAAATTATAAAAATGTGAAATCTGTGTTTTAATATTTATCAGCACAAGCTCTATACAACTAAATTCCAAGGAAACAAATGTCCGAAAGTTATTGTAAGTAATTTCAACAGCCACTGGCAATTCTTAGTAATACTCATTACATCCTTGATTGAATCTTTTTTCAAAGTCAATCCAGCTCAGAAATGTATCCATACAGTTTCAACAGGCAATCTAAGATGAGATATGAAATTGCCGAACGCCCTTATGAAACGAAATCTCTGCTTACTCAGCAGTATCACAGACAGGAGAAAGAGTTCCATACCAAGTAGCAGAACTTGCCATGTCTTAGCCATCCTGCCCACGTTCACAATCACAAAGATTCAGAAGAGGAGCGAAGGTAATAAACTGGCTTTTATAGGAAGAAAATATATTGCTGTTCTCCACAGATAGGAAGTACGGATACGTGAGCCATCAGACAGTGTATGTGAGGAGATTATATTGATGGATAAAGAAAATATTATTGCTGATTCTGGCTATCAGAGATTGGGTCCGTAAGGCGATTTTTCTGATTCTATAGACGGGAGTCTGAACAGCCGGATTCCTTTTCAGATTTCAATGAAAATGTTTTCTTTTAGTTTTAAGATTCTAGTCAAAATGTATTATTAAAAGGACAAATAAAATACAATTAAAGAAAATATGATGTAGACACCATATGGCTCTTTCTTGTACAGTCTACTATTAAATTATACACTCTTTTTGTTAGAGTTCATTAAAATTTATTTCTTCGGCTTACTCAATGAACCTATCCTTCTAGACAAGCCGAAAATGACATCACCATTGCAAATTTGCAAAT